CTTTGTTGGAAAGACCGAAGGGATTGTCTCGTCTCTTGGTGTGCTATAGGTAGAGGGGCGCCTCCATCTTCTCCTTTTCTGTTACGCAATGTTTCTGTAGACTCGGGAAGAGTTTGAGGTCTCGTGGTATCCCTTTCTCTGTAATCCCGCTGGCTCAACGAGTGTGTCCTGGTACCATCTCGAGGATCTTCTTTTGGTTTTGAATCAGGGCAGTCTTTTCTCGTGTGAGTTATTTTGAAGCATTTTGTGCAGTGATTTTCCATTCGTTCATACTCTAGGGTGACTATCGCTTCATCTCTGTTGGAAAATTCGAGTATAGATTCTTGGGGCAGCGGTTCCAGTCCATTGACCAGTACTTGTATTCTTGCAGATGTTTTTGTTAGCTCTTGGTCCATGAAGGTGCCAACTTGGTGACCGAGGCTGAGAAGGGTTTCAGCTTTCCAATAGTGGAGTGGTATCCCTTTGAGGCGAATCCAGAAGGGTATTTGTGAGGGGAAGAGCTCTGACATGGTGGGTTCCCATCTCTGGAGGATAACCATCCAGTACGCGAAGTGGTAGGGTCTGTTCTCCAGCACTTGTAGTAAATCTTCCTCCGATTCGAAGTGAAACTGGAAACATCCTCTTCCCAGGTCAGATCCGGTCACTTCTCCTTTTGTTTTCCACCTTTTGGTAAAGAAAGATATCACTGACCACACTCTTTGGTCTTTAGGGTTTGTAAATCTTCCTATGAGCGTAAGCTTGTTCTCCAGGATGAGGTTTGAGTTGTCAAACTCAGGGACCCTAACTTGGATCCTATGTGGTGGATCTGGCGAGTGAACCACCGCCTTGCCTTTTTCTGCGTAAAAAAGTCTTCTCTGCATTCTGCTTGTCTTGAGATGCAACTAGTGTATACAGTGGTGTTATTCACACCGTATCTATGGCTGCAGCTTCTCCTCGATGGGCTAACTCACACCGAGACTAGGTCAAGAGTGGAGTGTAGGAGGCTCTGTCTTATCTCTTCTGTCTCGTTTCGCCGGCAAGGATCTAACTGTGTATCGTCAGGAAGTCTGATGCGGAAAGCAGCTCTATTCCGGTGTGCCGTTGCGGACCCTCCGACCCGAAGGTGGGGGCTGAACCACGAAGCGCGCTTCCCAAAATAATTTTAGTTCAAAATGCTTATCTAAATTGGGTAAAACCGTGTAGGAAAAGTCAAAACCAGAAGTAAAAACCAGGTGGTTGAAGTCAACCTTGAGAATAGTGTCTGGGAGAGAAAACTCTCAAAGTTAGAATTAACAACGTCGACATCTGTAGTGATTTACTTGTTTTTGCTGATTTCTAGCTATCTAAACATGGATCCCTGAACAGACACTTTCAACTAATTTAGAAAAAAAACATTAACATTGTATCAAACCTCTGGATTGCGTGATCTCAAGGGAAAAATACAAACGTAGGCTTGCAATAGCAAAGCATAATCTCCATGTTCTTAATTAGACTCATCTTTTTTTACCAAATGAAAATGATAGAGACATTGTATTTTTTTCTCTCTATATATTTTGTTTTTATAATTTGGAAGATCCATTAGTTCCAGAGAAATTATGTTTTCTAAATTTATTGTTTCATATTAATGTCTACTACAGTACTACTTATTAATTGGTCAACGCGTATTAGAGCTTCGAACAACTGGAATAAGCATGTTGTCACCGAATCATAAGCGTTAATTTCTAACTTCTTCTGACTTTAAACAAATCTTATTAAAAAAACAAAGAACAGAAAAAAAAAGACTAAACAAAAAAAATTTACACAACTTTTTTATAAAACCCAAATTCCAGGACTCAGGTTCTTCTATTTATAAACTCTCACAAACAAAAGTAAAGCCTTTTTTAATTCAAAATTGTACAGTTTCGCTAGTTTTTTTTGTTGTTGTTGTTTCCTTATATTCATGAATACGACTACCTACATTGACGATTGCGCAGAATCATTATTCAACATCTCCTCCAATGGATTGTGGGAGAACCTAAAATCTCCCGATGTGGTATTCATCTCATCTTCATCGTCATGACGCATTGGTTCCTCAGACGCATCGGCATTTCCCAGATTATTTCCTACATGATAGTAAGTATCTTTTTGTTTTAAATTCAGTATATAAACTACATTAAATAAAGATGGTATTGTCTCAATTCGTTTTTTCTCTCTAAATTTTAATTGATTTTGTGAAAATATGGTAATTCCTAACAGGTTTCTTCGAAATTTTTCCTCGTGAATTCACAACACCTTCAATATGTAACTTGACAAGCACGTAGAGAAACAAAACTAAATGAAACTTGATATGCAAGTAAAATTGTATAAGCGGGACCATGCATGCTATTCAAGATAGTATTTTTTCAAGAAAAAAATGATTTCACATGCATATAAATTTACGTGTAGGCTGGACTGATTCTAGGGCCTCAGCTTTTTGATGTACTGGAGAAATATTCGGGGAAACTATCTATGGATCCTGCGTTTAATGGAAACGCGACCTTAAGAAGCATCTCAGTGTTTGGAATGATCATGTTTACGTTTCTGATGACAGTTAGAACCAGCAGGCGAGTGGTGTTTAGTAGCGGAAAACTACCCTTTATGATCGGGATCTTGTCGTTTTTTGCTCCTCTGTTCGGTCTATGTTTCACAACCCTTTTCTCGGACAGCATTGACCCTCGTTACATGACTCCGGAAACAGCAATAGGCGAGCGCATAGTGATTGTCATAACACAGTCCTCGATACTTTTGCCTTCAACAACATATATCTTGCTAGAGCTCAAGATCCTCAACTCCGAGATCGGTCGCCTTGCAATGTCTTCATGTATCATAAACGACATCTTGGGGATCATTGCCATAGTAACCACCGCTCTTTACACAACCTGCACGAATGTTTCACATGTAACAGCCTACCGTGACGCTATCGCAGTGGTCATCTTCGTTCTCATCGTCTTTCTTGTTTTTAGGCCGACCGTGCGATGGATCATTGACCAAACACCGGAAGGCAAGCCCGTGGGGAATAAGTACGTCCACGCCGTGCTTTTGACCGCACTGGGTTCCTCTCTTTACTTAATGTTATTCGATATGAAATATGTCTTGGGACCATTAGCGATCGGTCTGATAATACCGGAGGGTCCACCGTTAGGATCGGCATTGGAGGCTAAGTACGAGAATCTCACAATGAATGTGTTCTTACTAATCACGATCACAGTTAGCGTGATGAGATGTGACGGAATAAGAATCTTTACCGAGTTTAGTCACATCTTCTACAACGTCATCCTGACGGTTCTAACACTTGTTTTGAAAATGGTCGCATGCCTTTCACCTTGCTTGTACTTTAAGTTACCTCTCAACGAATGCTTGGCTGTTTCCATCGTCTTCAGCTACAAGAGTTTCACTGATTTCGTTCTCTATGAACCTGTCTTAGACGACAAGGTAACCATCAAATCGGGAAAGCAATATAATATTATCATAACCGATTTGTTGTTGCGTGATAGAGACATAATTATATGGTTCTTTTTTGCAGTATATATCGGAGGCAACGTACGCGTTCTTGATCATTTATTCGCTGATAAATGCTGGGATCGTTCCTTTTGTCTTAAGAATCTCATACGATCCGAAACGGAAGTATCTTAATTATCAAAAAAGGAACATACTGAATTTGGCACCAAGCTCCGATCTCCGAATTCTAACTTGTTTGCATAAACCCGAGAATGTTTCACAGACCATTGCATTCCGGGTTCTCGATTAGGGTTTTCAATCTACAGCTCCGGCGGCTCCCATAGCGCCGGAGCTGTGCTTCTTTTATTGATTGTTTATGTTCTCGGTTTGTCTCTTCAGATCTGTCTATAGTTTTTTGTCTTTGACGCTGTGATCCGGCGAATTCTTACATGTACATCCTAGATCCGGTAAGATAAGAAGCTAGCGATCAGTTTTTTCTCTTTTTTTTTAAGGTTTCTCTGTTATAGATCTGGGTTCTTTGCGGTTTCTGTCTCTGGTTTACTTGGGTTTTATCAGGTTTTCGTTCAGTCCTATCAGTCTTAAGTGGTGCTGCTCGTTTGGGTGTCTCTTTTTCGGACTTTTGTTCAGATCTGGCCGTAACTTTTCGGCCGAGGTGGTGCTTAAAACCAGTTCTTTCCCCGCCTTGGATGTGGAAATCTTCACCACCGTTGGTTTGTCTCCTTGCCTAAATCTTAAAGACGAATAGTTTGCGTCTCAAGGTTTTGTTTCGTCTTTGCACCTCTGTGGCTCCATCTTTCCGGAGCAATATAAAGAGTATCCATTGGCGTCTTAACCTTCTATTTGGTTTTTAGCAGTTTTATTATTCACATGTTGTTTCCCGCAAATTGGGCTTTTGTTTTCGGAGAACTTGGTTTCTGCCAAATGATGTATGCGATGCTGGTTTGATCAATATACTATCAGTGTTAAAAAAAAAAGACCATTGCATTCCTCCAATTGTTGTCTTCACCGAACCTTAAATTCCCTATTGCGATCACGGTTCTCCACCTCATGAAGCTCGTTGGTCAGATCAGCCACATCATGATTTCGCACAACAAGAAATCCAAACGAATTCAAAACAACTCCTACATCCATACCGCAAACCTTGCCTTTAGACAGTTCATGCTAGAAAGCTTGAAGTCTGTAACTGTGGCCACATTTACCGCATTCTCGCATGAGAATATGATGCACGAGGACATCTGCACGCTCGCACTTGACCGTACAACGTCAATGATTATCGTCCCTTCATGTAGGAGATGGACCATAGATGATAGATGGGATGTTTGAGTCTGACGACGATGCCATAAGGAGTCTAAACCATTCATTACTCGATCGTGCGCCTTGTTTTATAGGAATACTATTTGACCGTGGTCATCTCTCACGTAAACGCAATGTAATGAGCAAGAAAAACTACACCATCAATGTAGGTATGATTTTCATTGGAGGCAAAGATGATAGAGAGGCATTATCGATGGTGAAGAGGATGAAGCAGGGGCGGATCTAGCACCATGGGTGTGGGTGCAAGTGCACCCATTAAAATATAAAAGTTTATGTTTTTACATAGAATTACTAAGCTATAATGGCACATTTGGATTAAGTGCACCCACAATCTTTAATTAACCATGGTTTGATGCCCCCACTCCCCTTCCTATTTTTCATTTTGCACCCATTGGACAAAAACTCTGGCTTCGCCCCTGGGATGAAGCATAACCCGAGGGTTCATTTAACCGTGATCAAGCTCTTATTCAATCAAGAAATGGAGTCAGCAAACTGGGAGTACATTCTTGATAATGAAAGCTTAAAGAATTTCAAGACTACAGAGGAAACAAACAATGTTGATTATACAGAAAGGGTTGTGACTAGTAGTATTGAGGTGGCAAGCATCGTCCGATTGCTCGCCCGAGAGTATCATCTTATGGTTGTCGGGAGAGATCAAGGAATGGCATCACAAAACTTCTCAGGACTAACAGAGTGGGTCGAACTTCCAGAGTTAGGTGTCATCGGAGATTTGCTAGCGGCTAAAGATCTTAGCTCTAACGGCTCTGTTTTAGTACTTCACAACAACGACAGACTGTATTCTCTTAGGACAATCGTCTAGAATATTTAACTAAATATTTACTTAATATTGATACCTCTCAATATTACACGTTCTCAAGTACACTTTTATAGTAGTTTTAGATTCATTTGTGTTTATTTCTCTAGTTTTGACACTCTTTACATTCTCTTTAGGTCTAGCACGTATTAGGATAGATATTGATTTTTCATGCATGTTTTTGAGTCCTTATTAGGAGCTCAAGATAATGAGTTTCCCGAGAGAAAGCTGACGGAGCAATTCAAGATCTAGGAGGTGCAAAGCAGGCGATTCACCTCGAGACATCGGGATCCAATATCGGACAGCAAATCGATATGAGCAGCACCAGGAATACACAACGGTCTCACACTACGACTTGAGTCCGACATGGGATGTGCAAAGCCCAGGTTGATAGACATAAATTCTTGCTACATCGGGACGGTACAACCACAAGAATCCGATGTGAAGCCAACACAAGCATACCCAGCGGGAAGAAACTGTAATTTGGATGAAGACAAAAGACTTTACTTTTTGCGTTGGATCCATCCCATGCATGATTACGAGGCAGCGACCCGAAGGTTTTGAGACCACTTTTATATATACCCCTTTTAGCTCATTTTGGGTGGCGAACATAACCTATCTTTATTTTTATTTGCCTTGTCTCTCTTTTTTAGTCATCTTCTCCGTAGAAACTGAAACTCCATTATTACTTAAGCCATTTTATATTTCAAGCTTTATCTTAGTAATAGTTTTGTTTTCTCTCGTTAATCATGCTTGTTATCTTCAGCCTATGGATTTTAGTAACTAACACCATAATTAGTGAGTAGTCCTCTACAGTTTAGGAGGTGTGGGTTGAGTAGAAGTGTTAAAGGTTGGATCTTTGGTGTTATTTAACTTAATACTCTTAGTCCCTTCATATTAGATGCTCTTCATGCTTAGGTTATCTTCCCTATATGTCTCCAAGCTTTTCCAAACAAATGCTATGTTTGATGAAATGCAAAGACCTATCTTTTATGAGATATGCTTTTCCTAGCTTCAGACATCAATTGTCTAGAGAGCGTTTTGGCTTTATAAAGTTGTTGCTTCATGCTTGTTTCTTTATTGAACCGCTGTGCTAATGCCAATCTATGGTGATAGAGTTGCAAAGTAATCTTACCATGGAAGTGAATTTTTCTTGTTTAGAACCCTATGCGAAGGGGTTAGACTCTAAAGGTTGCTCTTTATTAACAAATATCCTTCCTTTACTCATTTTTACTCTTAATACCTCACCCCTTAGACATTTTCCTGTTTTCTAGCTTTTTCTTATCAACTTTTCTCAGTTATAGCATAGATTTTGTTATGTTTTTAGTTGATTTGACAACTAGATTTCTTATTTACCCTATTTTGTATTTCCCCTAGCACGTTATTAACCTTTTTAAGCTTAATATCTTAATAGGACCTTTTAGATTGATATAACCTCTACCAATATACTAAACAGATTAGTAGGCTGGGGTGTTTCGATTGGGTCCTGTTTTTAAGTATTAAGTCTTGAGTTTAGAGCAAAACTCGGTCTTTTTATTTATTTATTTTGATTACTAGTACTTTCCCACCAAGAATCTTTTGCAGGTACAAGACACATGGTGGACAAGCAAGGCCCCTACGAGTTGTTCGAAGCTGCATGCGCATAACAAGCCGCACGAAGGCAGCCACGGACCATTGGCGAACATGATTCACCAAGCGGTTACAAAACTTGAGCCGGTATTACCCCACCCCTCGGTAATGCTGGTTTCAAAATAAAAAGCAGCATAATTGCAATGGTGCGCAAGAACAAGTATTATGGAGAACCATTGGAAGACCCCTTGGACCACCTCGATGATTTCGAGCAGATCTGATCCTTGACAATGCAGGAAGACATATCTGAAGACGGTCTTAAGTTACGACTTTTTCCTTTCTCTCTCGGAGGAAAAGCTTACCAATGAGAAAAACGCTTAAACCGGGATCTTTTAAGACGTCGAAAAAGTGTAAACAAGCATTCCTGAATAAATTCTTCTCATCTTCAAGAACCGCTAAGCTATGCCTAGAAATATCCACATTAACTCAAGCAGATGAAGAGAGATTCGGTGATGTTTGAGAACGACCGAAAAGCTACACAATCAAATGTCTGCACCATGGTTTTCAAGCTCATCACTTCTAAGCATCCTTTACAGAGGAGTGTTGAAACGTTTATCGTCACGCCGAGCAACAGAATTTTCTTAGGGAAGAAAGTTGACGACAAGATGCATCTAATGGAAAATTTGGCAACAAGCAAGGGTCACTATAAAGATGAGATTGATGAAGCTGCAATAGATATGGACAAGAAGAGGGATAAAGAGGTGATTGAACTACAACAATGGCTAGACTCATTACTCATTGTACAGCAGAAACCGGTCGTAATGAGAACACACAAAGCAGATAACTTGGCTACTAGACCACATCAAGCCAACATGGTTCAAGAGCACCCTCACCCACCGCCACTCCTCTATGGAGCACACCAGATTCATTATATTGCTTACAAGCAGCAAAGCTATGCTCTGCACCCAATCCACTACCTACAACAGTATCAATCGTACCCACCACTCTACAATCACCATGACTACTACCAACCTCCACAGCAAGAATCGGAAATCAAAGGCTTACTCGCCCAACTTACCCAAACCATAGACACACATATGGCCAACATCAACACACAGATGGACAAATATGACAACAAGAGGAACATGACTGAATACCAGAGGATACGTGAAAATTCTACAAGCCAGCAACCGCCTCCCACAACAGCCTATGTACAAGCGGTTACATTCAGAAGTGGGAGAGTACTTCCACCGCGGGACCCTGCACTGGAACACATTGAGGACAATGAGAAACAAGTAGGGGGGGGGGGGTATGAAATTAAAAAATTTGATGATGCCCAAAAGGGTGTAGAAGTACAGCTCTACACTAACTGCAAGAGAAGGACAACATGATAAGGCCAAGGGAGACTCCTAAGGAGAAGGGTAACGAGCCACAGTTTGTACCACCACCTTACAAACCCACATACCCTTTTCCGATCAGATTCAAGAAGTAACTCCTTGAGAAGTACATAGCTCTCTTTGACGAGCAACTAAGAAAGATTGAGCTCACCATGGCTCTCGTAAACACCTTTGCCTTGGTACCACCCTACCAAAAGTTCCCGAAGGATGTGGTCCTTGCAAGAACAAAAGAGCTGCAAGGAATGGTGGTTATGACACAATAATGTAGCGACATCATACAGAAGAAAATCATCCCTAACAAGCTAGAGGATCCAAAGAGTTTCACCCTTTTGTGTTCCATCAGACCCCTCATGTTCAACAATCTTCTCTGTGATTTAGGGGCAAGTGTGAGTCTCATGACCCTGTCAATAGCCACATGGCTTGGTTTCACGAGCTACAAACCGACCCGCATCTCGCTAATATTGGCTGATCGATCCGTGAGGCTACCAACATGATTATTCGAAGATATCCCCATCAGGATAGGCAACATTGACATACCCACAAACTTTGTAGTCCTAGAAATAGACAAATAACTGAGAGACCCATTGATATATGGTAAACCATTCTTGGCCACGACGGGTTTATTGATAGATGTCAAGAAGGACAAGATTGAGATAAACCTAGGGAAAGATACCATCCTTAAATTTAATATCAATGATGTCATGAAGAAACCTACTATATGAGGGAAGGCCTTTTGGGTTGAAGCATTGGATGAGTTAAATGAGGAACTCTATGAGGAGTTAACTATAAAGGATCACCTACAAGTATCATTGACTAAGGAGCAAGGACAGAATGGGTACTTGGACAATGACACATAAGCTTATATGACGAGGCTTGATTCAAGGAAAATGATGAAAGAGGATGAGTTCCCCACAGATTATGAATTTGGGGAGCACATGGCCTTTATCAAGGAGAACAAGGCTGCAAATGCAAGAGATGTGGCCAGGGATACGGTAGAAACAGGTAAGCACAACCCTCCTAAACAAAAGCTCAAACCACTCCCTACCAGGCTAATGTACACATTCCTAGTTACCTACCCCACCTATCCTGTAATTGTTAATGAGAAATTAACTGCTAATGAATTAGCCTCCCTCTTGAAAGAGTTTCGAAAGTTTAGCAGGGCAATTCGGTATTCTCTTGACGATATTAAGGGGATCTCTCCTTGACTTTGCACTCATATGATCCACCTTGAGGATGAATCAATGACTTCTATAGAACATCAGAGAAGGCTTAACCCTAATCTCAAAGATGTTGTAAAAAGTAGATTCTTAAAATCTTAGATACTGGTGTGATCTACCCTATTTCGGATAATAGATATGTCTCACCAGTACATGTGGTTTATAAGAAGGGAGGCATAACAGTAATAAAAACTGATCAAGATGAGCTTATACCAACCAGATCCAGAACCGGTCATAGGATGTGTATAGACTATAAGAAGCTTAATTCTGCTTCTAGAAAAGATCACTTCCCACTCCCATTTATTGATCAGATCTTAGAATGGCTTGCTAATCACCCTTAATACTGTTAATAAGGCTCTTGTGTAAAGAAGCTAAAATCATCTTCAACACGGACTGCCTCCACGCCTTCAACACGATAAAAAAGCCCTCGTAAATGCCCCGATTGTTCAAGCACCTAATTGGGACATGCCATTTGAAATTATGTACAATGCTAGTGCCTACGCAGTTGGGGATGTCTTAGGACAAAGAGTGGATAAGAGATTACACGTGATTTACTGCGCTAGCGGCAAAGAGTGGATAAGAGATTACACGTGATTTACTGCGCTAGCGGCACCCTTGATGACACATAGGTTAAGTAGTCCACCACTGAGAAAGAACTCATGGCCATGGTATTCGCCTTTGAGAAATTTAGGAGCTACCTAGTTGGATCCAAGGTGATAGTGTATAAGGACCACGCAGCCTTGAGATATCTTTATGGAAAGAAGGTTATCAAGCTGCGTTTGTTGAGATGGATCCT